GGAACTGCACCACAGGGTCTCCAAGGCTGTCAATCTTTACAGAAGCAAAGCCCAAACCAAACTCACTGTCATTGACTTGACTTGACTCATAGCGACCCCTCCTTGGGTTTCCGAGGTGGTATCTCTACGGAAGTAGACTGCCCAACCTTCCTTCCGAGGAGTGGCTGGTGGGTCTGAACCGGCAGCCTTCTGGTTAGCAGTCAGATGGCTTAGGCACTGCACCGCCAGAGCTCATGTTTCTGCCTTCATCTGTCTATCATTAATGATGTCAATCAGAGAAGGCTGGTCGACGTTCATGCTCTCTCTAAGAAAATGTTATGTGTTGATCTGCAGGGGTCTTAGGATATTATTAAGAATGGGACTCTAAGATGAATTTCAGAGACTCAGACCCTTAAATGTAGTCAAGACCTTTCCCTGCCAATTTGAGTGCTGATACTCTTTCATATGTCAACGTTTCCATTGCTTTAAATGCAGTATGATCTTACTTGGCATAAAACGTAAAGGAGACAGTTTGTCCATCGTCTTGGTAATCAATGTGACGCAAGTAAGCCCTCAGGGGGCCGTCCTCTGCTATCTTCTCCTTGTTATCGGCCGTCACGTAAATGCTGTACCAGTTTCCTGTAATCTGAAAAGTTTCCATCAAAAAGTTAGTCCATCTCCTGTCCTGTCTCAGTGACACACATCATAACTTCAGACAAATAACAAAAGAAGCCTGATCCTGTCACCCGGGGCAGAATGAACCAGGCTCAAAATGCCAAAGTAAAAACAGCATGAGTTGGAATGTTCTTAAAGTAGCTCCACCGATGCCGTGAAATAACATGAAAATTAAAGACAAAAAGAATTGCCGTGGGGCTGACTTCCACCCATGGCGACCCAGTATGTGTCAGAGGGGAACTGGTCTTCATGGGGTCTTCAATGGATAAGACTTTTGGAAGCAGATAACCAGGCTTTCCTTCCGTGTCTTCTCTGGACTTGAACCTCTAACCTTTTGGTTAGCAGGTGAGGGCATTGACCATTTGCCCCACCCAGAGGTTACTCGGTGAAATTTTCATAGGGTAGAAAATTTTGAAGAGTTGCAAGACACGAGGATTTTTTTATGGACACATAGGTGGATCTCTCAAAGTACATGGAGATGTGGATACATGGAGAAACCCACATGCATACTCACACGCACACACACACACACACACACACACAGGGCCACACTCTCCTCTGTAGCCTGTGAATACCACCTCAGGTGACAACTCTACGCCGGAGAAGGATCCCTTCTTCACGCAGAGCAGACCAACTACAAGAGTCAACAGCAGGCTCTTCATGTTGATGACCGTGGGTCTCTTTGCTGAAGGAGCAGGAAGTGGATGGTGAGAATGGGATAGGAACTGAACCTGCAGCACTTTTTATACCATGCGGCTGCTGGCTGCAATACAATGAGTCCATTGTCATATCATGAGACCACGGCCAATGAGAACTCTTCTCCTAATATCCTGGTTGGCAGGGATGGGCCAGTCATGGCTTGAGGTACCTTTACTAATGAGATCAGTTGTCAAAATAGCTTGA